GATTTAGTATATCTCATAATCGAATTCACAAAATCTGCAGATAAATAACAAATGGGTAATACCGAGAGAAAATGAATACTTGGGACAACCAGTATAACATATACAAGTGAAAATGTGATAATGTAGTTTTTTTTTCACGAGACAATGAGTATACTTTGGGAACAATAAATAGTAATTTACTAGACGGATGGATATTTAAAAAAAAATTGATTTGTGGTTTTTGGCAACTGGTCGGTTTTTGCACATTTCACCTTTAACTTTGGAACAGAGAATCGCTGCTAGCATTTATAGCTCAACAAAGCTTAAGCCCGCAAAGATCATATTCTACATGTATTAACCNGTCCTTTCCTTTTGGTGCATACCTAACTATAGAATTGTGCATCTTTCTTCTCTTACGATGTATTATATCCTAATATATGCCACAGGGATGGAGTCGGGGAAGGCCAGTTTTATCAAGTCTTATTACATGAAGTCCAAGCTATCCGCGATGTAAAACCAACCATTTCCAACCAATTTTATCAATTTTGCTGGTGCGAATTGTAATTTCCAACCAACCATTTCATGCATGTCTTTTGCTGGAGTCAACCTACAAGCCAAAAATCACATTTGTGGTAGTGCAGAAGCGCCATCACACAAGGCTATTTCCTGGAGACTACATGAATCCTGATTGTGCAGACATGAGGAGTGGAAACACTTTACCAAGTTAGACAACGTGGAATCAGTTATACGATGAGCTTTGGGTCTTCCTGTTTGTTTAAACTCCTTGTTTGTTTGTTCGTTTGTAGGCACTGTGGTTGATTCTAATATTTGTCACTCTAGAGAGTTTGGCTTTTACCTTTATAGTCATTCTTCTCAGCAGCTAAAATTAATAGAAAAAAACACTTATAGTCTCATATGATTGTATGGATGAAGATGATTTTTCTTTAGTGTTTAAAATCAACATTTCCATGACAGGGTACTTCTCGACCTGCACATTACCACGTCCTTATGGATGAAAACAGTTTCAGTGCTGATGAACTCCAATCTCTAAACAATGATTTATGTTACACGTAATACCTTCTTCTCTTTGTCACATGTTTTTACGAAACATATATAGATTCATAAAACCATAACATTAACACTACATTTTTTTTGAATTTGTGTAGATATGTGAGATGCACAAAATCAGTCTCCATTGGTAAGTGTTACTTATCCTCCATGAGATTTAGATTTTAATGCACAAAAACCTGAAACTGGGTTTGCTTGTTTTTTGGGAATTTGTAGTGCCTCCTGTGTAGTATGCACATTAGGCAGCAGCCAGGGCACGATTCTACATGAAGCCAGGGACACAAGCCAGGTACGCTCGGGTTATGAAGTAGCAAGGCAATATTTGGAGGAGGACCTTCGTTTTTCCATACAACAACCATCCCTGAGTCCCCTTAAAGAGAC